ATAATTAAATTTTTGCAACTGCTTTATACCTAGGTTTAATTCTTTGGACAGAACAAAAACTTTCCCTATCATCTATCTTTGAAACACACATTTAAAATCACAAAGCTTTTGTTTGTGTTATTAGGTCTCTAAAAATGAAGGACTAGAAATTTAGTACCAAACGCAAAACAAATAAAATTTTCTTTCTGCTGTATTTCATGTAAAATTTATCTCATCATCAATACTAAGATATTTACTCCCATTCACAGATGGTATTGTGATTATAGGTTTACATAACAGTCAGTACATAATTTTCCACTGTAAGTTTACTGTAAGAGAAATTTCTCTGTGTGTAAAAAGTTAAAAATATTATCTGATCTCAAATACAAAGGATTACAGACTAATCTTACTTTACAAGAATGTCATAATACTTTTTGTAAAAAAAAGAAAAATGCTTTCTTAGGAAAGGAATCATCCAGGTCTGAGACTCGAACCATGGTCAGCCAGGTGGGAGTCCACTGCCTTAACCACCACACCACCTGCTGGCCCCGACATTTGGCATGTAGTAAGTGGAGTCATAAAATGCCTCCCTTTCATAGTCTGGCTTGCTTCACTTAGTATTAAATCTTCCATACTCGTTCACTTTCTATTAAATGGCAGGGTCTCATTGGTCTTTCGTATTTCTGTTATTTCTGTTATAATACTGCCTATTTCATTGTTGATTTATCTGGTCTCTATTCCTAATTAGTGTAATTAACAATGTGTCAATTTTATTTATGTTCTTGAAAAAACAGGTTTTGGTTTCATTTATTTTCTGTATAGTTTATTTATTCTCTATTTCATTTATTTTTTGGTTGAATTTTTATTTCTTTTCTCCTGGTAGTTTTGGGGCATTTTTTGTTGTTTTTCTAGTTCTCTGAGATGTGTTGGTAGGTTTCCTATTTCTCACCTTTCGATATTTTTCTTGTAAGCACTAATTGCTATTTTGTTAGCAATCCTCTTGATTTTTTTCTCTTATTTCTCTTTGTCTCTCTTTACTTTTCCTGATATAGTACTTCTTTCGATACTTCTAGAAGAGATGGTCTAGTGTTGATGAAATCTTTCAGTTTTTGTTTATCTGAGAATGATTTTATTTGTTCATCCTATTTAAAGAATAGGCTTGCTGGGTATAGTACTCTTGATTGAAATAGTGTTTCTTTTAGCATTTTGAATATGTCTTTTCATTCTTTGCATTGTTTCAGCCAAGAGATTTGATGTTAGCCTAATAAGATCTAAATATCTTGCCATTTTTAGAATCTTGCTTTGTCTGTGATTTTGACCTATCTGGCTGTGATGTGCAGTGGAGAGGCTCTTCTTATGTTTTTGTTTTGTTTTGTTTTGTTTGTTTCTTTTTTCAGAGGTTTTTGCTATGGGGGACATGTGTTTGCCAAAAAGACAGCGATAAAGAGACAGAAAGCAAGAAATCACTCCCCCAGGGGAGATGGCCATGCCACAATCCCTTCTCCTCCATTCTCCTCTTGGGATCTTGGGCACGCACGCACACGTGCCCAGTGTGAGTTTAAGCCACTGGGGCTAGGACTCCAACCACAGTAGACTACATGGGAGTCCAGTGACATAGCCATTACGCTAACTGCTGGTCCCTTCTTACCTTGATTCTATTTGATGTCCTTTGTATTACTTGGGTCTAGATTTCCAAATGTTCCCTAGGTTTGGAAAGTTTTCTGCAAGTATTTCATGGAATAGATTTTCTAAGCCTTTTCAGATTCTTCAACGTCTGGAATACCTATTTTTCAGACACTTGGTGACTTAATAGTGTCTAGTATTTACCATATGTTGTCCTAGTTTTTTTAAGTTATGTTTTCATTCTTTTTGATGGTTTTGTATAAGTCAGTGGCTTTGTCTTCCCAACCAGAGAGTCTATCTTGTGCGTGGTTTGATCTACTATTAATACTTTCAAGGGAGGGTTTGATTTTCTGTATTATAGTCTACATCTCTAGAAGCTCTGTTTGATTCTTTTTGTGGTGTGTATCTTTTTATAAAGTCTCTCCTTCAGGTCATGGAATGATTTCCTCATCTCCTGAAGTTGGCTGTCTGATTTTTTCTTGCATTTCATTCAGCTTTGTCACTATGAATATTCTAAATTCTTTTTCTGACTTTTTGTGTGTTCTTTTCTGCTCTCTGCGGTGAGGAGAAATTGTTCTTTTTCCATGAGTGAGAGATGCTTCCTTCCTATGGAGCTGTTCTGCCTATGGGGTAGCCCTTCTGTCTTTCTTTCTGGGTATCAGTTCTCCCCTTCCTCTCAGAGAAAAGAATGAACCTTCCCACATCTCCCCTCATGTGACTGGCTCACCTATGGATTATTCCTCTCTCTACACTTTTCTTAATATGCTTCCTTTCACTGTCCTTCAAATAATTAATTAAAAATAAAAATAATTAAATTTTTGCAACTGCTTTATACCTAGGTTTAATTCTTTGGACAGAACAAAAACTTTCCCTATCATCTATCTTTGAAACACACATTTAAAATCACAAAGCTTTTGTTTGTGTTATTAGGTCTCTAAAAATGAAGGACTAGAAATTTAGTACCAAACGCAAAACAAATAAAATTTTCTTTCTGCTGTATTTCATGTAAAATTTATCTCATCATCAATACTAAGATATTTACTCCCATTCACAGATGGTATTGTGATTATAGGTTTACATAACAGTCAGTACATAATTTTCCACTGTAAGTTTACTGTAAGAGAAATTTCTCTGTGTGTAAAAAGTTAAAAATATTATCTGATCTCAAATACAAAGGATTAAAGACTAATCTTACTTTACAAGAATGTCATAATACTTTTTGTAAAAAAAAGAAAAATGCTTTCTTAAAAGGAAAATTGAATTGATAACTTTAAGATTTTTCCTTACAATTAGGTGAATAATTACATCTCTAAGGTATTTAAATAATAATATACATAATATTTGTTTTACTGAAATTCAGTGTATGTTTTTGATTAAGTGTTAGTACAACATGTATTTTTCTAATAGATATTGTTATGTTATTCTTCCAGAGTGGAATACTAAATTTATGGGGAAAAGATGAAGTTTTGATGCACTTCTACATAAGAAGCAAATATTAGTACCAAACAATTACTCCAAAATCTAAATTTTTTGTATACAATATGTCTTGCATTTAGATAAAATGAATACACATTTTCTATTTTTTTTAATCTATACATTTCAAGCTGAATTATAGCTTACCAGATTAGAGGCTGGAGTAGTGATTAAAACATATAACTAACAGGGAAGGACTATAATTAATGGTCATAACTAAAAGATCTTCTGCATCAACAGTCAATAATAGATTCATAAATTTATTGCCAGCACTTCATACCCTCAGGAAGTACTCTCAGATAAACAAAACCTGAAAGAATTTACCAGCACTAGACAAGAAGTTCTCAAGGGTGTGCTATATCAGGAAAATTAAATACAAACACACGGAAAGAAGAGTTCAAAAACTAAGAAAGCGGCCAACTTAATCATAGGGACAAGTCTGGAGTTGAATATTATATCCCAGAATTTAATAGAAAAAATGGAACCAGAACAGAAGATAAAGTACATGAGACTGATAGGTTCATGCACGTACCATTTGAACAGAATCCTAACCTGTTTCCTGGCTTTAAGAAAAGTTCCTTTGCATTTCTATAATTTAAGTTAAAACTGGTTTTCTTAATAGTACCATATGAACTTACCATTGAAAGTAGTTAGATTATTTAAGAAATTGTGTGATCAATACAATGTGGGTGGAAAAGGAATTAGAAGACAATTGTAGACACCAGAGACAGTGGGAGAAGAGGGTGGGAAAGGACAGAGGGTCAGAAAGAGGGGTAGAAAATTTTGG